ATCTCTATCTCATCTCATACAAGGGGCTACTATGTATGTGTAGTACTTCTACACGATCCACACGTGCGAGTGTGAGTCCCCAGGCGACTCGCACACCCCCTTGACCCTCTTTGGTCAAGCTAGCTGTCGGTAACGATGTCTGGAGGTCAATGGAACACCTAGTGTCATGCTCCCCATGATCACCCTCATCATCAATCTATGCGCGTCTGCACTCATCCTCTCAAGGGAAGTATCCCTATGTTTATGTACACACAACATGTATTAGGTTTCTCTCATTCTCATCTTAACATCTATTATAGCACAACCCTAGTCTCAACTCTCTATTATGTTTAGTAACACATGCTCGTTAGATATTTATATTAATATCATTTTCATGCTCATAGGGCTGTGTTCCTAGGTTGATCTATCGACATGATGCAATATGGCATTCATCATCATACAACATGCTTAATATGGAAAATTTCATCATATTAAGGTAAACGTCATGCAAAATATCATAATCATCATATTGTCATTAAATGCATCAAGCATGTTAAGTAGGTCATACATCATAATGTAACTCACGTACGTTATCATGCATCATAACTCATACATCATACCTCATACATCATCATATAACTAGCGCACGACATCATACAATTCAACTCATACATCATAAATCATAAATAACGCATACGTCATCGTATGTCATCATAATCAAGCCTACATCACACCGAGCCTTAGCCAAAATTCTCCCTAATAATTAACATAAGCTCTCGTTCCTCGAGAACTGCTCCAAATGTTGTCGGGGTACGTTTCCTATCATACCGTTCGTCACCTTTTATTAGTATTTTACAATTGATATTAGTCCAACTAATGTAAAATATAGCTCTAAAACCACCTCAATTACCTTAATGAGGGCAAAAAACGGGTACGGGAGGATCGGAAAACCTGGACAAAATTAGAAAATCGAGCTGAAATCAGCCGAGGAGCCGCCGGAAGCCGAACCATGCCACGAAGCCAAGGGGCTGTTTTTGTTGCAAGTCCGACCCGAATCGGACGGATTCTTTCTTCCTTACCCGACTCACTATGATTTTTCGGCTGCATTTTCTCTCTCCTATTCCTCTGTTGGCATCTCCTCCTCTCTCCCACGAAGTTTCGTGGTTGTTGGACGTCCCTGGAGGTAGATCGAGGATTCTCAAAAATCTGATTTCTGGATTCCTTCTCTGACGGCGATGACGACAACGACGTGGCGTGACTCACTGTGGGTGGATATATTAAGGTCGGTGGTCACTTTTGCGGTGTGGGTTGGTTGATTTAGGCGTCAGGACTGAGGTTCGAGGTCGCCAGATCTGTGGGTTTCGCTCGCCGAAAACCTTTAGTGTTTTCTCTCTCTCGATATTTTGTTATTTTGTTCTCCTTTTCAAGTTTTCGAGGTGTCTGAATGTTGGCTGAAGGAGGGGTTGCTGGTGATGGTTTGGCGTGAAGTGAGGGTCGTGGAGCAGATTCCGCTCGGGTAACAGAAATTCCAGCGACTGGTTTTTTTTTTTTTTTTTTTTAATCCAATCCTTACACTTAGACACTCTTAGACATTCTTTATCGATAAAGTAGGTAATGTAATTATGTCATAAGAAAATGTCAAAACTATCCGCGGATGAATCTAAATTTTAAATTTTGATCTAAATGATAAGCATGAAAATATACTAATATTTTTGTTATAAATTGTTTTCGAATCCTAAGTTTGGTTTATATTAAATTTGAGTACGTTTTAAAAAAATTCCTTTTGACCATTAAATTTTGACATTGGCTTCTCCCATCAAATCAAAAAATGAAATATGAGATTAGAAAAGGTACATTTTCTTCCCTTAGACCAAAAAAAAAAAAAAAAAATGGAGTACTAACATAGAAAAATATGGAGTAATACACCTTGTGGAATGCAACATTTTTTTAGGAAGTTGCAAACATAATGGCTAAAAATGAAACTTCGCAACACAAATGAGAATGATATTATGCAAGCCTTTCCCTTTGGTGGCATCCAGCGATGCATAGATGACTAAAAATGAAACTTTGAAACACAAATGAGAATGATATTACGCAAGCATTTCCCTTTCGTGGCATCCAGTGACGTGTATTCGAACTCGTCTGGTGGGTTCATGTGCACGTGTATGAGTCGTGTGTGGAGAAGTATCAATGTAACGACCCTAAACTTCTATTTACCTAGAGTCGCTACCGTCATTATCATTTATACTCATGCGGAATTAAACATTTAAACTTCGTCGTAAAACATGAACTTCATCTTAAAACATTGACATAGACTTATTATTGGGATATGGAGCATGATGCTTAGATTTGGTAGAGATATATTTGGAAGATATCTTGGATATTTGATAAAGATTTGATAGAGATATATTTGGTAGATTATAGTTTAAATCTTTGAAAACTATATTTAGTAAATTGAAACCATATATATACCCCATTAGTCATGACTTACAAAATTTATTTTTTCTTCCTTCTCTATATTCTCTCTTATTACATACTGTCAGCAATAAAACCTTTAGTCAATATTCCTCCTTGAATTTTCTCTCTCGTTCTTTGTGTTCATCTTGATCGAGTGTGTGCGATGTTGAGCGATCCTAACAACTGGTATCAGAGCGAGGCGAAATTCACCATGATATGTGAAGATGAAAATTTCAAAGATTGGAATTGAAAAGTTTGATGGATCCGATTTCAGTTTTTTGAATATGTAGATTGAAGATTATTTGTACTAGAAAGATCTTCACGAACCCCTATTGGGGTGAAGTCGGAGACCATGACCAAAGAGCAGTGGAAGCTTAAGGATTGTCAAGCTTTAGGGTTGATCCGATTGTCGCTGTGAAAAAACGTGGCGTTCAATATTATCAAAGAGAAGACAACGTCGGTCTGTTGAAGGTGCTTTCGAATATGTACGAGAAATTGTTGGCTATGAACAAGGTGTATTTGATGCGAAGGCTGTTCAATCTACAAATGTCTGAAGGTGAATTTGTTTCTGGTCATATAAATGAATTCAACATGATTGTAAGTCAAATGAGTTCGGTGGAAATTAATTTCGATGATGAAATTAAAGCATTGATTTTGATGTCATCTTTACTCGAGTCATGGGATACTATTGTTGCCATAATCAACAATTCACGAGGATCTGATAAACTGAAGTTCGATAAAATTCGAGATGTAGTTCTTGACAAAAGTATTAGCAAACAGAAAATCGAAAATTCATCAAGCAATGCTCTCAGTGTTGATCGAAGGGAAAGAAGTAAATCAAAGGGCCCAAACAATGGGCGATCAACATCAAGGAACCGAGGAAAATCTCCACAAACCAAACATAAAGTGTTGGAGTTGTGGAGAAAAATGTCACTCTCGAGCAGATTGTACAAAGAGGAAGCAGAATCACAATTCAGAGAATGACGATGATTCTATAAATTCAGAAGAAGACATTAGGGGTGCTCTAATCCTCAGCGTGGATAGTCCGATTGAATCCTGAATTTTGGACTCAGGTGCATCTTTTCATTCATCTCCAAATAAAGAGTTGTTTCGAAATTTCAAGTCTGGAAATTTCGAGTAGGTGTATCTTGTCGACAACAAAGACTTGAAGATTGAAGGAAAATGGGATGTTTGTATAAAAATTATGGTAAAAAATCAGTGGACATTGAAGGATGTCAGATATATTTCTGTCTCAACAAGAACCTGATCTCTATTGGTCAGTTGGATAACACAGATTATGCAATAGAGTTTGAGAAGAGTTCGTGGAAGATTTTGAAGGGTGCTATGGTGGTAGCACGCAACACAAAATTTGGAACCTTATACACCACTGTAGGGTGTATGAACATAGTTGTTGTTGCTGAGAGTGCTTCAAATTCAAGTCTATGGCATAATAGGCTTGGACATATAAGCATCAAAGGAATGAAGATGTTGGCTGCATAAGGAGTTTTGGAAGGTCTAAAATCTATTGATATGAGTCCTTGTGAGAACTGCGTTATGAGCAAACAGAAACGAGTTAGCTTCAAAAAGATTGCCAGAGAATTGAAGAAAGGTTTCGGGACAACGAAGCAAGTGAGAGTTGAGGTTGAGTTGCTGAAAGATTCACCTAGTGATGTTGTAGCAGATACTCAAGAAACTTTTGAGACTGTTGCTGAGGAACCAGAGGTGAAGCGAGTGGAAGTTGAGGTTGAGTTGCAGAAAAATTCCTAGGGTGATGTTGTTGCAGATACTCAAAAAACTTTTGAGACTATTGTTAACACCTGAGCCGGTGTTGAAAAGTTCATCCAGAGCTATCAGAGTACCAGATAGATATGTACCTTCTTTACACTACCAGATGCTGACTGATTGAAGGGGAATGAGAGCCCCTTGATGAGGCCCTACAACGTGGCAATAGCTGAAACTGGAAAGAAGATGATATGGATGACAAACTATCTAGAAGAATTAGACATGAAGCAACGCGAAAAGATTCTTTAGATAGATAGAGTGTCATGCAATTAGTGAGGAACCCGGTTTATCATTCAAAGACAAAACACAGAAGGCGATACAATTTCACTCGGATGTTAGTGGAAGATGGTGATGTGTTTGGATAAGATAGAGGGTGCTAGGAATCTAGCAAACATTTTGTGTTGATGTTGGAACATTGAGGTTGTGCAAAGGCTCAAGTGGTATGGTACAGATTGAGAATGAAATTATTGATTGACCAGATCAATCTCCAATTGTGAGATTGTTGAGGTTGATTGAATCAGTCTCAAGTGGGAGATTGTTGGGATATGGAGCCTGATGCATAGATCTGATACAGATATATTTGGAAGATAGTTAGTAGATAGACATATATATGTATATTAGATATTTGGTAAAGATTTGATAGAGATATATTTGGTAGATTATATCTGGTTTAAATCTTTGAAAGCTATATTTAGTAAATTGAAACCATATATATACCCTAAGTGATTACAAGATGATGTACTTTTCTTTCTTCTCTTCTTTGTATTCTCTCGTATATACCTGAAGTCATCAGTAAAATCTTTAGCCAATATATTCTCCTTGAATTTTCTCTCTCATGTTCTTTGTGTTCATCTTGATCGACTGTGTGCGTTGTTGAGCGATCCTAACACTTATGTGTTCTAAAAAATATTTTAAATGACACAACGAAAAATTAAATAAAATAAATAACGTTAAATTAAAAGACTCTATTCTAAACCTAAGTCTAAGAAAACAAGTACAACTACTCTATACATTTGTCATGGTCTCGAATTGTGATATCGTTACACTAAGCAATATGTTGGTGTTGGTCTTCATACGCTCATTATCATTCTTCATACATTCATGATTATTAGCTTCAACTAGGATTGCGTCATTAGAAAAATAAATCATCGTCATAATGCATCATAATCACAGCATACACATCCATACTCATCATCATAAATGGGGAAGTATCCCAATGTACATGCACATCATCTTGATATGGAATAACATCATGCTAACCCTTTGTTTGCTTTCTCTTTCATCGTCGTCTCCGTTATCAATTAGTCTCCCAACAATCTCGTTACCATCTTCCCCATTCATTCTTTTACAAGCCTGCTCACATAGAGTTGCACTAGAAATCAATTCATCCTCTTGGTCGGCAAAGCTACGACACCATTCGGTAGTAATCACTCGGGTGCATCATGGTGTTCCCTGACTTGTTAGTCCTCTCTTCCATGGCGTTATCTACACTATATGACGCTATGAGTCTCGATGGGGTGATTTTTTGTGTCATGCTCGTAGTGAGGTAACTCAACAGTCTTTTCTTCTTCTACCTCGTTTTACCTCTTGTTATTTTTCTTTACTGGTGGATTCTGTGAGGTGCGGCTAAAGGTCTTTGGCGTATTCTTGGCATCGGGAGAAACGTGTAGGGTGAGTGTGTGAGAATTCCGGTGAGTCGTCGAAATTCTCGCCCCCTTTTCCGGCGACCTTTTTTTTTTTATCTTTACAACCACACATCTAACCCTATCCAAAGCTAAAAAGAGCTCAAAGTCATGCTTTGTTGTTTTAAAGGATCGGTCTGGTCATGTATGTGTGTGTTTGCATTACCAAAATGCAACAAAGGGGTTATTGACTATTTCTTAAAATACTCAAGTCATGTGTTACTCTTACATTTCAAGTAAAAGTAGAGCGCTTCTGCACGGATGACGGTGAATGTTGGAATGGACATGAAAGTTAAGATAGGACAGAAGTATTCAATGTTTTCAATTAGCAGTTGTATAGGTGGTTTTTCATTTTCGTACTCAAAGATTATGTGAAGGTTTTATTTTGACAATGTTGTTATTTCTATTTCTCAATTTAAACTAAACATGTAATTTCATGGCATCATTTATGAACTATTTAAAATGAATGTTTATGCATAAAAAGTTCATGTCATGCATATGGTAGCGACTCTATTTCATTAGGAAAATAAGGTCGTTACAGTGAGTATTAGAGGCAGGTTATAGATTCTGTAGACTATCCTACGAGGTAGGCTTAACATGTTCCATGGTTCCACCGTTGATGCTTCGTTGCCGTCATGTGTGCCTTACGAAAGACAATAAATGATATTGTTTTGTTATGTTATGATTTACCTTTCATGGAATGTGAATGGTAATTGTGTTGGGATTTATGTCATAAAGTCTCCTAATTAATTGATTATTTTTTAACCATAATTTTTATTATTTTATTTGTAATTTAATTGTTATCCATGGTATGAAAATTCAAGGTTATTAATGTAATCTTGAACGGTACGTGGTTGACATACAAGAGGATGGTATTCAAGTAATAATCTAAAAAGTTTATAGTATATAGATAAGATTGAGTGTTTTATCTTGGTAACATTATTGATACGACCCACTCTGTGATCGTTGCAAATAATTTGATCCAAATCGTTCATGTAGAGACATGTAAGTAAGTGTATCCTATATAATGAGTTTATATAAAGACTAGACCAAGAAATATTTAATGACTCTTTATAAATTCGTTAATTAAGAAGATTAATATTTACATGATGATCATATGCGACTCAATTTTAATCTTGAGTGAGTACGAACTCCTGCTTGTGAGGACTTGTCATTTAATTTGCATGGGTGAGAATGACTCTTTCAGCCAATTCAATATGCCTAACATTTTGGGGACTTGACCAAATAAGGAGTTAGGAACGTAATATCATGAGATGAAATTCACCCATTTTCACCTAATGAAAGTGTTAGGATATGGAGCCTGATGACTATTTATATTAAAATGAAGATCGGGAAGAGATATATATGATAGATATTTCTAAAGATGTGGTAGAAATATATTATGTAGATTATATTTCGTAGGTGGTTAAATCAATTAAAGGTATATTTAGTAAACTGAAACCATATATATACGTCAGTATTTTCAAAATGTAATTTCTTCATGTATTCTTTCTCTTAGCATACATACTTGAAGTCATTCATAAATTCTTTACCCAATATTCCTTTTTGCATTTTCCGTCAATTGTTCTTTGTGTACATCTTGATCGAGTGTGTGCATGTTGTGCGATCCTAACAACTAGTATGAGAGTTAGGCGAAATTCACCCTGATATGTAAGGATGAAATTTCATAGATTGGAATTGAGAAGTTTAATGGATCCAATTTCAATTTCTGGAAGATGCAGATTGAAGATTATATGTACCAGAAAGATCTTCACAAACCACTGGTGGGGAAGATGTCACGGTCATGCTTGCCTAGGGCATGTTGTTCGTGGCCGCATGCCCATGTCACGTCGAACCCTTTATGTTATTCTATGTTGTATTGTTTTACTATTATATTTTCAGTTTGTATGATGGTTCGACGAAATCATGTCTAGGCCTGCTAGACTTGAATCACCCCAAAATGCACTATAGGGGGTGTGACTAGTTGTCAACTCCTCCCTCTAATTTTGTATGACCATTAAGTGAAATCACGTCTATCCCTGCCAGACCTGAATCGCCTCAAAATGTATTATAGGGGGATGCAACTAGTTGTCAAATTCTTCCTACCTGAAAAGTTATATATTGTTTAAGTCGTTGTTGTTGTCTTTGCTTGCATGCTATATAACACCGTTTTCAATCTCTCACTCAACCTTGCTTTTAAACTCTCTTTCAAAATCTCTCTGCCACCGTTTTCTAAAACCTTCTTCTCAAATCGGGGCTAGAGGTTTGAGCACAGTTGCTTGGTCATAGGCGACGCGAATACAAATTATCTTAACTCACTTGCTCCTGAGAAGTGAGTGTCACACTATCGCAAAGTCCACTGCCAAGAAAAGTACGATTATGACACTAGACACTCACACCCCCTATGAAGCATGGTTCGTTAAGACACCTCACTTCGAGTATCTAAGAGTCTATTGTTATACAACACATGTTCACATTGCAAAGCCATATATCAAAAAGCTTGATGGCAGAAGTCAAAAGATAGTGTACATTGTCGTAGAGGATGGGACCAAGGAGATGCGTCAACACTGCACAGGGACACGTCACAAGAAGAGACATGTAATCTGTTGCACTAAGGAGATGCACTATGCATCATGCAACCAGTAGTAATCTATACTTGATTTGTTGCCTAACCGTGAACCACGCCTGCACCGAACGACCCAAACCAAACTGCTCAATACACGTATCAGTAGAGGGAAAATATAACGTATTCGCGTGCTATGGGATTCGATCACGCACGTTCTTGCTGAGGCGACCATTCACTTGACGACATGTGGCGGTTTTGAGGCTGAATTCCTCACAGGTGAGTGACAATCGCGTGTGGGGCCGTGCGTAGAAGCTTCTCTTCGCGCGTGTGGACGCATGAGTGGCATGTGCAAGGTAATTTTTTGATCGTTCAACCTTTGTTTGATTTTTTTTTATCCTCGTTTCGATATTGTCCCTAATTTAGCTTGATTCAAGACCTACAAGTGAAATTTTAAGAAGTTTGGAACTCCCAACACGCAGAAAAACTAGCTCGGAAGGCACATGTCATCCATGTAAGTATCCACCATAGACTTTAGGCAACAAGGGAGAATTAGGAAGTGCTAGCATGCAAGCATTCCTTACTTTAAGTGGTTAGACAATGCATTTCAAAGACTTTAGAAGGGCATTTTTTGGATGAGTATGAATTATATGTATGTTATGGTAAAATTACCATTATGCCCATATATTGAGATTTTCGAGAAACACGTTGTGTTATGTATTATGCTTAGTTAGAAAGAGAATATGCATGACTAAAATACGAGTTGGACAATATGGATGAGTACGTTATGCATGATGTAAGAAATCACCAAAAATGTTTGTATGATTAGATTTGTGATGAATGATGTTTTATATACTTTTCACTATGTTAGAAAGGAGAATGGGTTACTGTGATCTATGCTCTGGGTGATTGAGGGATATTATCTCCCCGTTGAACTTGTTTGTTTGTATGTATGTATGATACAATATGTGTCACCTCCAGGGGTTTGAATGTGTGTTCTCCCTTTAGAATGTGTTTATCTACATAGAGCTAGGGTGTTAGAGTTCGGTTGGTTAGACGATGACCTAGGTCGGGCACCTCTAGTAGACTAAGCACCTTAGGATCGTGAGCGGCGGTCAGAAGGTCTAGACCCTAGTACTTCTAGACTAAGAGAGACTCATGAAGTCATAATCGAGCACTAGAGTAGGAAGAATTGACAACTAGTCACATCCCCCTATGGTATATTTTAAAAAAAAATTAGCCCTGGCGGGCATAGACATGATTTTGGTAACCAGTCGTACACTCTTGTATTGACACAATAAGAATAGTAAAAGCCTATCTCACATGAAAGCAAGTAAAATAGGTTTGGAATCGGCATGTGGCCTTAGACAAGCATGAATGGGACATTTGAATCGCGACCACGAATTGCATGCCTTGGACAAGCATGATCGTGACACTAGACACCAGGAGGAAAAGTTCCCACATACCATCATGGCGAACATAAATATCGTAAGTTGAAAGGTACACGTTTGTACTGATCATAACAGGGAAGTATCCCGATTCATATGACATACAAATCCATGAGATCCTCATAGCTTAAAATCATTGCATAAATTTATAAGGTAAATCAAACTTTCATTTGTCTATAACATAGTAAGCCTCTGAATTATGCATGCATAATTCATGTCAAATCTCTCCTACATAGCATAGCTTACATAGGAGGTTTATGCATCATAAATTATCATCATCATAATATATTTTTACAACATGGAATAACATGACATCACATAATATAGCATAACATAGTTCAACGTACCATATCATAATATAGAAAAACATAACATGACTTAGCATAATATGACATAACATAAAACAACATAGCATGACATAACATATTCATTATAATTATGATTTGCAAGGGTCACTAGGCACATGTCATCATACATAATACAATTCGTCCAACCAAGTCAACAATAGAGTTACTTACCTAACTGGCCTTGTCGAATCTATTTTGTTCGTCAAATTCTAATTCCATTAACTAACCTTAAATGCCTCAGGCAAAAAACAGTTCTAGAAAGGTAAAAAATTTAGGAAATAAGTCTAAGAAGTCCAACCCGCCCCGAATAAGCCATTTTAGAGCCGTTGAGCTGTCAAGACGAGTGCAAAGGGGTCGACTATGAACCGAGCTGACTGTGAGCCGATCCGCAATGGGAACTAGCTTGACATAGTGCTACACATGGGAAAGGGAGCTGGAGCGGGTCAAGATTACAACCGTAAAAATAAATAAATAAATAAACAAACTGATTTCTCATCTCTACACTAACCTCTCACAGCTCTTACCTAAAATGCATCAACCACTTGTTCTCAAACTTCACAATAATTCGTGCAAAAAAAAAAAAAAAAAAAAAAAAAAAAAAAAAAAAAA